CGACGCGACAACAAATCGCGTCGGGCTGCGTCGGCCGACGCTGTCTGAGTTGGCCTTAAGTAAACATCTTAGATAACCATTTAAGACATAGAAATTAGGAAGCTAAATATAGTAACTACACGCAACATGCCTGTGTTGTACTTAGTATTTTCAAGAGGAGCTTTTTTCTTTAATTTGGTTCCCGATTGCGCATGGACTTAAGATTAGGCCTATAAGTATGGCGTAACGTTAAACATGTGTTTCCTAATTAATCCATGAAAAACAAAAATTCGTGTTTTACCTTCGAAACCCTCTTTACAATTGCAGTTATAACTAGAAACAAAGTCAACGCAGGTCCCGTTGTTTTGACATGGGTTACTTTGGCATTCGTCTATTTCAACCTCGCAAAAGTCGCCATCAAACCCTTCTCGACACACACACACGAACCCTGCAACTTGATCAACACATTTGCCATCGTGGACACATGGATTACTTGAGCATTCATCGACATCGATTTGACAATTTTCACCTTCATACCCATCTGCGCATGTGCAAGTGTAGCCGTTCTCTACGTTTGTACAGTTGCCACCGTTTAAACATGGTGAATATTCTACACATTCGTTTTTGTCTAATTCACATTGTATTCCTATAAAACATGAATTATGTAAAATGAATTACAGTTTTGTCAAAACTGTGCTAATATCATAATATTGGGAAAAAAATAAATCTTAAAGCGATTCTCTCAAGATGCCTCTAAATGCGCATAATAATCGAGATACGCATTGCATAATAAGGCAATTAAATTCATCAGATGATTTCATCTATAGTTTAATTATATTTTAGGTTATAGACAATGCATCTACAAATAACCCAGTTTTTTCCGTGACATGAAGTTTTTTCTGGCTAACAGCTAGATATCACCAGGGGTTTCCATTCATTCAGCTGACAATATCTGTCCTCAAAAGATCACCCTGTTACAGGTAAGCTGGTTAATTCGCAATGAAATTACTTTACCTATAAGAAAAATAAATGAATAAAAACAATAATGAGGGTGATACTGATATTAGATTGAATTTAAATAATGACAATACGATAGTAGAAGATAGGCCTATATATCATAAAGAAAATAAGATGATAAGTTTTTACCTTCAAATTCTGGTGTACATACGCAGATAAACTTCGAAAGATCATCAATGCAAGTCGCGCCATTTTGACATGGGTTGCTTGAGCATTCATTAACATCGATTTGACAATTTTCACCTTCATACCCATCTGCGCATCGGCAAGTGTAACCGTTCATTACATTAGTACAGTTCCCACCATTTAAACATGGTGAATATTCTACACATTCGTTTTTGTCTAATTCACATTGTCTTCCTGGTAAAAAGAATTGAGCATAATGAATGACAGTTTTGTCCTTCTGTCTGTCTGTCTTTCACTCACTCATGTCATCCATAGTAAGAACAATGGTGTTATTTCGTGTACCAACTGTGTTACAACAAGTAAGCAGAGTGGTATTAAAAAAACACAGTAAGAACCTCTGTCTCTATGTTAACCATAGGTTTTATTCCTATTTGCAATTTTGAAGTATTTTATTCATTTTACATAGGCCTATTGGAGTTGATTAGTGGTTAAGATGCTTGCCTTCTAATCCCAGGGTCGTGGGTTCAACTCCTGTCGCAGCAGGATTTTTTCTCTTGACCAAAAACAACTCCACTCCCTAAGCCTCATAAAGAGACTTGGTTTACAAAGCATCATTCCATCCTGTAAGT